ATTCTGCAGAAGGTGTTTTTTGTTTTATTGTGTTTTGTATTTAGATCATGACCTTTGGGTTTTGGAGCTCATGGTTTTTGTTATGTTGTGTTTTGTTTATGCCCCAGGAATAATAAGGCCCTCTAGATTTTTCATAAAGTATTCATTTGGTGACTTGTTCTTATAATTTTGGCAAGATAGAAGGTGGTTTTCGGGGTGAGGTTAAATGTTTATAGGAGGATGGTGGATCTGACCTTCTAGAAGGACAGATAGTCTATTTTGTTGTTTAAGAGCTAACCGAACAAGTTCCACAATGGCACCCTACCCTGCTGCCGTTTTGATGACTCTGATGGAAAGGTAGATAAGCCATCTAGTGCTCTGAATTTTGTTCTTTTCTAGCCTGCTCATCCACTCGACCCCAGTCATTCACTTCCGTGGGCACATCCTGGTTATTGTAATTTAGTACTGGTGTCAGGTCTCTGGACTCCTGGTGTGGTGCTGTAGGATCAGCACTAGATGTTGAACCACAAGATTAACAGTTCTATAGTCTTAATTTCAAGTGTCTCACTTTACCTTTAAAATATGAGTACGCATTTCAGTACAAGTTAAGACATCTGTACAGTTAGGCAAAAAAAAAAAAAAAATTCCCATTTTTTTCAAATGGAAATAAAAACATTTCACTAATAAGCTGGTTTTGGAGACTACTTTCTCAAAATAGCCACAAGCAATGATATCAATGTTGTTGTTGTTAGTTACCATGGAGTTTACTCTACCTCAGTGGTGACCTTCTGGTCATGTATCATTTTCATGTTGTAGTGATTGTATCAGTTCATCTCATTGAGTGTTTCCTTTATTTTTGTTGTCCCACTTTACTGAACATGATGTCTTTTCTGATGATGTGCTCAAACTAAGCAAGTTGAAGTCTCACTGTCTTCATTTCTAAGGAACATCTAGTTGCCATGATATTATTGTGTTAAATCTCTCACCAACTCATGGTGACTATGCACAACAGAACATGCTGTCCTCATGATTAGCTGTGCATTGGACTGTTGTGATCCATTGAATTTTCACTGGCTGAATTTTAGAAGTGAATTTTCAGGTCTTTCTTTCTATTCCAACTTATTCTAAAAACTTCACTAAAAACTGTTTAGCATCATAGCAACACACAAGCCTCCACTGACAGATAGTGGCTGCACAGGGTGCATTTTCCAGAAATTGAACTTAGATCTGTAGCATGGAAGGAACAATTCTATCACTGAGTCACAATGTCCAGAGCCACTCCCTATCTCCGCACTGACATTATACACTGTTCATTGGATTCAGGACGTTAATTCACAGAAGTTGTCCATTAACAGTTCTCTGCAGAAAAAGGGAAGTGTAGTGTGTATTGTTGAGAAATTCTCATTTCTCTCATTAGTAAGAATTGTTGGGAAAGCAAAGCTGCTGCTGTGTAGTAGACAGCTGCCTACATCTATAGATATGCTTATCTTTAAAACTTAGTGGGACTGCTGCTTTATAGCATATTATCTACAAATTCAATTTTAAGCAAAATTTTTCTGCAGGTTTTCTTTCTCTGATTTATATGTTATTTATATCAAAATAGAAGAAACTCATATCATTTAATTTTTTTTTTTTTTAATTGTGAACTGAGTGATAGTTTACATGGGAGAACATCGGCTTTACATCATCACTTTATTGCAATGATTACAATCTCCTCCGTGCATCATCATTCAACAGTGTTTGCTTCCTTTCCCTGTTTTGTTTTGTTTTGGGGGGATGTATACAGAAACACTCGGGAATATATAATAATTTAAACAACCAAAGGGCACATTCTGCAAGCCTCCCTTCTGGCCGCCAGCAACCAGCCCCTCTCTTTCCATGAGTCCAGAGCCCTCAATTGGCTCCTTCTCTCCATGTCCTCATCTCTGCCTCCATCTCTGGTGTCGCTGATTCTCTGGTTAGGTCCTGCTTCTGTTTGTGCTCTTCTGTCTTGATGATTCTAGGGTCCTCTCTTTCTGTACTGTAAGATTAACTACTCCATTTTTGTTACAAAACTTCTACCTTTAGAGTTGTGACAGTCGCAATTAGTCATGATAATAATTACTCACTATTGAATCATAAGACTCTTATCCCCATTTCTTTTTACTAGACCCATCTATACAAGATTCAGTGGGGATTCTACCTTCTGCCTCACACTCTTAAACTCCCTCTTGAAAATGTGTAAGCTAGCCATTTTGTGTCTTTATTGCTCCCTCATTTTAGGTAGCCAATGTCTAACTATTTAAAATTTTTTAAAAAATGTTTTATTGTGAATTATGTGATAGTCTACATGGGAGAACATCAGCTTTACACTCATTCCATCATCCATCATTTCATTGGCATAGTTACCCTCCCGTCCATGCATCCTCACCCAACCAAGGGGTGTACCCTGTAAGCCTGCGCAACACCTCCCCATCACAGTCCTCAGCCCCTTTCCATCTCCTGATCCTGAGTTCCCAGCCCCACCATCTCTTGACGTCATCTTCCCTGCCTCCATCTCAAGCCTCACCGCCTCTCTGGGTAGGATTCTGCTCTTTGCTCTTCTCCACTGATGGTCCCAGGGTCCTCCGCTCCTAGACTGATAAATTAATCACTCCCCTCTTTGCTACAAAATATCCATCTTTTGATTTCCAACCCTCACAATCAGTCCTGATAACAATTATTCACCATTGCATCACAAGA